GAACGGGGGCCCCCAAAATTTTGTCAAAAGGTGGGCATAAATTCGTTTGGACGCGGAGGGATCGGCTGGCCAACTGGGGGGTTCTTGCCGGGAACATGCTTGTTCCCCAGGTTCGGTTCGGAAAGGCGGTGAAGGGGCCCCCAAGCCTTTTTGCGCCCACGGGTTGGGGGTAGAGAGGGGTCACCAGGGTTGGCAGTTACGCCTATAGAGCAGTGCCGCGGCGGCGCTCAGGGCGTGCAAGCGGTGCGGCCCGGCGTGTGCCGCCTCGTGTCTCGCCGGGCTCGCACGGGCACGCGAACTTGTGGGTGAACACATTCACCTGCGACGCCCAAGGCGCGTGGGCGGTAGGGCAGCTGCGGTCCGGCGGCGGTGGCAGTTGGGACGGGCAGCCGACCCAACCTTGCTCAGCGACTCTGGCAGGCCGTTTGGCCGCAGCGGGACCTTGCAGCAGGCGGGCTTGGTCGCGGCGGCGTGCAGAAACGTAAGCAGCTCCCCAAAGACCACGTCGAGGTCGGCCCACGCCCACCACTCGCGCCCGGCGAGGTGGCGAGGGAAGAGCGCAGGAGCAAACGGCTTGATGTCGTTGGCCTTGTAGGTCCAGTTGTAACGCACCGATGCCTGGCCCGCGCCCGGCTCGGAGATTAGCACCGCGAGCCGCTCCTGCAGCGCGGCGTATGCGACCGTCTCAAACGCGACGTTCGGCGGCCGCACTGGCGGCGGCGGCTCGTCGCCGATGACTACAAATCCGACGCCGGTGTTGAGCGCCATGGACTGGAGCGTGAGCGGCATCCACGGAGGCCACGCGCCGAAGAAGACGATGTACACGACGAGGATGGAGCCGGCGGCCTCCATGTCGACAGAAACGGGCGCTGGCGGCGGCTGGCGCGGTGTGTGTGGCCGAGCGGAAGCCGCCAGCGAGCCAGCGCCGGCGGCGAAAAAAGAAATTTTCGACCAACACTGGGCCGTGCTGCGAACCTGCTAAACCCCTACGATTTTGAACGAGTGGGCGGTGCAGGCTGTCTGTTTACAGGCGCCGTCCGCCCGCGCGCGCGCCGACCCAACTCCGAGCACGCTCGCTCGCCGCTGGGCGGCGCGCGTCCACAATGCGTCGGCAACACGACGCAGGAGCTCGCTCACTGCTGCTGCGGCGGCGGCAGC